CCCCATCCCTAAACTGGACCCTTGTGTGATACTGCCTCCTACTGGTCAACCCTGCTATCTTGGCTCCTGCACGTCTAAATAAGCAGTCCCCCAAAACACTGGACTTCAAGAAAGTGAGCAGTTTGAGGCTGTCTGAGCACTTTTGTAAACAGAAAGGGACATGTTGATTCACAAAAGCCATACCAAGGTCCTACATGGTGGAGTGTACACTCCTACCCCATCCTTAACCCCAGCTCTGGGTTCACCCATCAAATAAATGCTGGGACTGCTAGAAGGCAGGACTGGAGGTACAGGTGGGAAGAAGAAACACGGGTGATGGAAGACAGGCCTGTGCTCTGTGCAGGGTGCACCTGTCACTCACGGCACCCATCTAGCAGTGATGCCTGAGCTCTGGCCCACCCCAGCCACAGTTCATCCATCATCCCTCTTCAATGAAGACTTCCTTATATTGTTAAATATTACTCATAAATTTGACTTTTCAATCATCACATAGATTTCTAGGCCATTATGTAATCACTTTGCATGGATATTTGGGTGTTTCTGTTTTTTCTTTTAAATGAAGTGTTTGGTCATAAAAGTACAGTTCTGGGCAAATGAACAACACAGAGCTTTTTCAAAGGAAGAAGTTCAAATGCCCAAATTACATAAGAAGAAATGCTCACCATCTTTGGCCATAAAGGAAATGCAAATCAAAACCACATTAATATTCCATATCACTCCTGTTAGAATGGCTATCTTCCAGACACAAACAACAACAAATATTGGTGAGGAGATGGGGATAAAGGAACCCTCCTGCACTACTGGCAGGAGTGTAAATTAATATAAGTACTATGGAAAACAGTATGGAGGCTCCTCAGAAAACTAAAAATAGTACTACCTTATGATCCAGCGATTCCACTCCTAGGCATATATCCGAAGGAACGTAAGTCAGGTTACAATAAAGACACCTGGGCTAAAAAGAAGTGACTCAACATCTTGGTGACTCCAATTGCTCATCTGTAAAATGGGTATGTTTCCTGTCTCATAGGATATTTTTGAAATTAAATTAATGCAGGAGAGTTTCGTGTACTTAGTATTCACAGTATTACTGCTATTTAGCAGATAAAAGTTAATAAATTAGCAAAATAAACATAATTTAACATGCTTTAAAAAAAAAGTTCATTCCTATTGTGTTCATTCTGTAGAGTGAGTTGTGGGAATGTCATTGATTAGGAGTTGTAAGGCTTGTCACCAACTGTGCCTATCAGGTGAGGGACTAGCCATCGCTGGGCACAGCCAACATGGGAACCTCTCAATTCTTTCCTGACACCTGAAGCACATGCATTCCCCTCATTTGTATACCCAACGAACCCCCCATTCTGTCTGTCCATGTGTCTCTTTTTGTTTTTAGTGTTACTTTTGTCCTTGTCATATTTCAGTGCTAAGCTTACTGATAAGAAAACTCAAAGCAACATGTACCTGTTAGACTGAAAGAGGCACAGAATACACAGCCAGGAAATGGCTCAAAGGCCAGCACAGGGTTTCTTCTGGAAGAAACCTAGCCAAAGCCAGAACTGCCCATTCACAGACTTGGAGTACATAGAGGGGAGGGGTCTGAAGGGGAAGTTTAGCTGGGTTCTCAGGATTAACAGTTGTGAGGAGGAAGCTATGGGAGATAAGTGGTAATTAGGTAGATTGGACCCCTGGTGAGATAAGAGTTTGTCATTCCCTTGAGGCTAAGTGTGGTCCTTCCAGTAAGTGATGGGGTGTTTCCAATAAGCTGCCTGCCAGAGTTGAGGGAGGGGTCCTGATCCTAACATGGTTTTCAAAATGATTACCATTTTGTAGGGTTTTTTTTTCTGGATTAAAAAAGCAGGTGGTAAATGCAGGTTGGAGTTGAGTGTTTTGTGCTATACATGGTCCTTTCAGTCCTGACAGACTGAGGTATTTGGAGGCACACAGGTCCTGGTCACTTCTCTGTGACTGAATGGCCCTCAGGGGTGGGCACAAGCCTGACCTCATACTGGCTGGTTGGTAGACATGGACTTCATTTCTAGATTATGTCGTCATACCAATGGGCTCTGGGGACATCCTCTTGAGTGAACATCTTATTCAAGGGTACAAGGATAGCCTGGGGTATTAGTAGTGTAATTGCTGGGCTAATGGAGTGTCTATTTTAATCTGGACAGCTGTTGCCAAGCCATACTCTCTCAAGCACTGGACCTGCTCTCTCCTGCCTGTGGGATGAGGAAACCACACCAACAGGGTGTCCAGCACTGCCCAGTACTGTTCTACACTGGGCCTTCCCTTCTGTTTCTCATCCACCTAGCATCTCACCTGCCCTGTCTCCTGGACCTTTTGTTTAAACACAGCCCAGGATTAGTTTTATAAAGATAATTGGCAATATATCTATCTTGAATAGGACTTCATCCTCCTTCCCATAAGGGAGCTCCACCAAGTAGTCAGTTCATTTGGGGTGAGATTGCCCAGACCTTGATCTACTTGGGAGGGAGAGTTACTATACGGCAAGACCTCCCTTACTCTGGAGAGAGACATCCTCTGGCCAGGAGAGGTGCATGTAGGAGAGAGTCCCTTGATGCTGGCTTACATTGCTTGTGAGTGTCAGAGGACTTTGGAAAGCGCACTCTGCCAAGTCCTCAGCAGATGCCCTTTTTATATATCTTTGTCCTCCATGGTGTTCACCTCTTATGTCATTTAGTCCTCTGCTGATTGGTTACACTTTGGGTGTAACCTAGGTAGGCATCCTTGGCAGGATGCTCTAGATGTCATCATGTTTTAGCATGAGTGTCGCCATTTTGGGCATTTCTTGGCTGTATGCCTTATCAGTCCTGTCCATATAGACAGTGTCTGGTGTTAGCGGTAGCCAACAGTCCAGATGTCTGGGAGCTCACTGATTCTAAACTGCAGTACACCCAAAGTACAGACAAACTTTGTGGCTTGTTCAGTGAGGCTTTATGTTCTCTACAGGATCTGTCTAAATTCATTGAAGATAAAATTGAAGTTGTTTGGCTCATCCTAGTTGAAACTTTTTACTTGATTCTCTGGGCTTATCTTGATCTGCAATAATATGTAGTATAAATTGTAATAAATATGCTTTTTTTTCCATCCAGTATTAAATTAAATGATAGAAATAATGGTGGACATTATTTTCATTTTTGATTTAATAGTTAAAATAAGTAATCTCTAATTGTGGTACTTTGAGCTAGGAGTTGTGTAATATGCTTAATAATTTTAAAGACATCCATGTGAGTTAGTGTTTACCTTTCTCCTCTTCCTTCTCTTTCTTTGTTTCTCTCTTTCCCTTTGTTTCTTTCTCTCCTTTCTTTTTTCTCTCCTTTGTTCTTTCTTTTCTTTCTTTCACTCTCTCTTCCTCCTTCCCTTCCTACCTTCCTTCATCTCTCCCTCCCTCCCTTTCTTTCTTTCTGTCACTCTTGTTCCCTCCGTCTCGCCTTTCTTCCCTTCCCTCTTCTTTACCTTCCTCTCTTCTCTCCTCTCCTTCCTTCTTTCCTCTCTCCTTCTCTTTCCCTCCCTCCCTCCTTTCTTTCTTTCTTTTTATAGGAAGTACTAGGGTTTCAACTCCAGGCTTCCTGCTAACTAGACAGGTACTCTACCTCTTGAGCTACTCCCTAAGCCCACCTTTTTTCTTTCAGAAATATTTTTGAGTATGTATTAAGATAATCTGTCTGGTGTTTTCTCCTCTGATATGCCTGTATCCCACAGTGTTTCTCTGACTTTATGAAGTGGAGTAGGGTTACCATCTTGTTGCTGCCAGGTGGGGGTGGAAGTCCAGGTTACACACTTGTCCTCAAAGACATCATTGTAGGACACATGCAGAAGCTCAGGTTCCCATTAGACCACCAGCGACCACACAAGTTAAAGGGTTCATTACCATGGCCTGGAAATGGACACCATCACTCTGTTCAGCTGTCCACCACTGTCTCAGGGGGAGCATAGCTGTGTGTCCTCACAGCTCAAAAGGCTGGAGCCAGGGCCTCTGTGTGACCTTTGGTGGCTGAGTTGAGGTGAGGTGCAGATTCTTCTGTTTGTGGAGAGTAGGGTGGTTATTGTCTAAAAGTTTTCTCTTTTTCTGAACTGTCCATTCCTGGTCCTTTGACCAAGAGAGAACAAGTTTTTCTTGGTGGCTTTTACCAATTTTCTCTTCACCCATTGGTATTTCCAGGTCCTGGATTTCACTAGTTTCTGGCTTATGGTAGATAAGAAAAGAAACCCCTGTCACATAGTCCTAAAGTTCCTGAAGCCCCCCCCCCCTACTTCTTTCCACCTTTCATAGTCTTGGTTTCCACATGTTGTCAGAGTTTTCCCATTTGGTTAGAATAAAAGAGAAAAGTGTTATTACATCTCTTCTGGAACCACATCAGAGCCTCTTTTTAATACCTTGTTTTCTCCTAAAACGTGGTAAGCACCAGAGGCTCTGCTTGTGAAGCCCTGGTAATTAACGAATTCACAGCAGATGGCTTCAAATTAGATGCCATTTTCCTTTGGGAAGCTGGTGTCTTATTGTACCCCTCAGTGATGCATGAAGGCCTTGGAGTTGGGGCTCTGCTCTGTTTCCTTCATGCTGGCCACAGTGAGACACTGGTGAGGTCTCTTCTCTTGCTGTGATTCTCCCTACTGGGAGGAGGGGGAGAAACTCCTGCCTGTGTAACCTTGGGCATCCTTTCCTGCATGCGTGGACTGTGAATTCAGGCCATCCTGGGCACTGCTCCCCACTGCACATGTGTTGAATCCTGCCACAGTCGCCAAAGGGCTGTCATAGGTACCCTATCACCACATTACAGACCATGGCAACTCCAGCCAAAAGCAAGAAACACTTGCCTGCTACCTTGGACCAGCAGGGGGAAGCACCATGGTGGTGTCTCAGATCCTTGAGCACAGCCTAAGCTGCAGCACACAAGAATGCAGGCTGGAGGGCATGCAGAGGGGCCTATCTTTATAAAGTGGAGACTTTGATCTTATTTCCTTGTTTCCATGATGGCTAGCGGAGGGCATTGAGAACAGCCTCGGAAAAACTCAGAAACCGCTCCTCTTTCTCTACCAACGTGGTCTACACCACTCCGGGCACACGTGTCAACAGGTACATCAGCCGCCTCCTGGAAGCCCGCCAGACAGAGCTAGAGATGGCAGATCTGAATTTCTTCACCCTAAAGTACAAGCACGTAGAACGGGAGCAAAAGGTAAGTGAGTGACTCCAGCCTAATCTTCCCAGCTGTCCTCAGGGGAAGGCTCTGTGTGTCCTGGAAGCTAATGGCTCTGATGGGTTGATCAATCTCTCTCTCTCTCTCTCTGTCTTTGTTTCTCTCTCGCTCTCTTTTAAAATTATTCTTGTACCAAGAGTACATTGTGACATTTATAAAAGTTCTTACAATAGATCATAATTGAATCCACCCCCTCCATCATTCTCCTTTATCCCCTCCCCCCTTCCTGGAATAGTTTCAACAGGCCTCATTTTTCCATTTTCATACATGGGTACATAATATTCTACCATGTTCACCCTCCTACACCCTTTCCTTATATCCTCCCGCCTCTCTCTATACCAACCCCCAGATAGGAACTGATTTATGTTTCTGTCCTTTTTTTAGAAAAAAAAAAGGCATTTTTATTTGTTTAGGATATCTACACAGGGAGTTTCCTTGTGACATTTCCATGTGTATATGTAGTGTAACCCAAATTGGTAAAGCTCCTCTATTTTTCTCCTTTCTACCTTAGTCCCCTTCTTATGGTGATTTCAACAGGTTTAAAAATTCTATATTCATTCTTATATAGAAAGTACATCAACCATATTCACCTTCTGAACTTCCTTCTTTTACCTTCCTTCTCCCATCAGTGATCTCCCCTTAGCCTTGACCTGATTTTCATAATATTTTTGTATTTATATTAGGTCTATATTCTACATATGAGAGAAAACATGTGGCCTTTGTCTTTCTGAGTCTGGCTAACTTCACTTAAGATGATGTTCTCCAGTTCCACCCATTTACCTGCAAACAGCAAAATTTCATTCTTTATGCCTCTTTCTTGTAGTACCACCAGCTTCAGGATGAGTATTTCACCAGCGCTGTTGTCCTCGCCCTCATCATGGCTGCCTTATTTGGCCTTGTCTACCTTCTGGTAATCCCACAGTAAGTGCTGTCCCTCTTCTGATCAATGACATGGGAAGGTGACTGAGAATTCCAGCTCCCTGGGGTAGGCGACCATGTGTCCTTCTCATGTTCAAGGTTGGCTCTCTCATTGCACCTGGCATTTGGGGAATACATTGGTCACTTTTTAGCCTTCCACTTACTCAAGCTGGTTCTTTAGTGAGCCTGGATGGCGTCCAGCCTAGGACTGGACACTGCAGATTTTGAATTTTGAATTTAATGAGTTCTGAGACATATGTAGTTTTTCCATCCCCTCAAAAAACTCACAACATTGCCTTGAAAGTAGCTTTTGAGGGGAAACCAAGAGTGTCACCAATACTCTCTTTAGTTTGTGGGTCTACAGCATTTTTCAGAAACATTAAAATGAAAAAAAGTGGGCTCTGAAAAGGAAAAAAAAAGAGTAATTTTAATAACATTTAATTGTCCTATAAGCCCATGTGAGCTGGGAAGCTTTTGATTTGGGGCAAGGGCGACACCGGAAAACCTCTACTTGTAACTTTTCTTCTGGACATACCTGTTTCTTAATAAAACCTTCCTATGGGGTACAGCACCTCTTTTGAGTTTCCAGGAAGCACATAGGAGCTCCCTCATGCCTACTGAGGATGGGGGTCTCAGCTGTAGGACAAACACAGACACTGTGAGCATGGCCATCTGCCCTAGGGCTCTGTTTGGGGACTAAGCTTTTCCTAGAAATGCCCTTCCCAGACAGAGCCAGCAGGACAAAAGTGGGCAGCTCCTGCCATTTGATCAGGAAGAACAGGCTTCCAGAAAGTCATGTGACCACCCCCTCCCCAAGCCTAGGCTAGATCTTGGGTTGGGGATGGGGTAGTATAAATGTGGTTGAACTTGGGAAACAACCTTACTTGGGAGTCCCTGGGTGTTTTCCCCTAGAAAAGAACCAAAGGTGAGAAGTCTCCAGGGACCTGAGGCAGGCAGGGGTTCATTATAATGCTTCCTCCTGGGGTTCTGGGGACATGAGGCAAGGGGAGGAGGGACTGACTTTTAGGTATCTCTTGGGTCCACCTTACCTGGCCCCCGCCCTACAGTGACCTGGTGTCCTCTGTCCCCAGGAGTGTGGCTGTCCTGCTCCTGCTGGTGTTTTCAATCTGCTTCCTGGTAGCCTGTGTCCTATACCTACATATCACCCGGGTCCAGGTATGCTTGTATGTATGTCCTGTTGTCTGTGCACCACCTGATCCAGATACTTGGGTGGTTTCTACCTGCCTTCTTGGCAGGACAGGTGGGAGAACAGAGGTAGTTCTGTCCTTTGCCCTCCATATCTGCCCATGTAGACATGCTTGCTAAGCCCTGTCCTGCACTGGACACCATGCATTGCTGGGAACTGCTGGCCAGGCATGGTGGTGAGTGATGGACACTGATGAGATATGTGGGCGTGAGGTGCTGCCCTGCAGCCCTGGATAGAGAGTCTAGGGAAGAAGAGGGAGGCTTCTTGTGCTCATGCTGCAGGTGATGGGAGGGTATTTTCTAGGAGGGCTGTGGGCACTGCCTGGCTCTGGTGTTCACCTGCTCTGCAGTTTGGAGCAAGCCTAAGCATTGCAGCATTGTGTTCTCTGTTCTTTAGAGGAGATTATTTTCCCCATCTTGCATTTCTTTGTCACATCCTCCATGTTCAAGCACATTTCCCCTAGTGTATCTCACCTGTCACTTCTGATAGAACCAGAGTTATTTTTCCATAATTGTTGAGAACACCCAACTTCTTGAAAAGATTAAGTCTAGTTTGATCAATTCCACTTCATCACCATTTTGATTTTTTTTTCAGATTATTAAAAGCTCACATATTAAAAGTCACATTTGTGGGTCGAGTGACATTTGGTTTGAAATTTCCTGTGTCAAATATTGCTCTTGTCATATGGTATCAAGTGAAAGTATGACAGAAGGATGGTTATATTTAAAGCCTGTCACTTTGTCCTGTCATGGTGGGAACTGATGGTGTGCACATCACATGAGATGTGCAGAAACCTGGGGAAAACATAGCCCAAAGGGTGGCTGAGGAACCTCACCCCTCAAAGCCCAAATGAACATAAGACAGGCTACAATAGAGACACACCCGTACACCAATGTTCATCGCACCATTATTCACAATAGCCAAACTATGGAAACAACCCAGATGCCCTACAACTGATGAATGGATCGACAAAATGTGGTATATATACACAATGGAGTATTACTCAGCCATAAGGAATAATGACATGTGGTTTGACAGTAAATGGATGCAATTGGAGGACATCACGTTGAGTGAAGTCAGCCAGGTTCAGAAAGACAAAGGCTGGATGTTTTCTCTCATACATAGAAGATAGATCCAAAGATAAACGTATACACAAAAACAAGCATGATCATAGACAAACTCATATGTAGAACATGTTTGCAATAGTGAAACTGCTCTTTGGAACTCGGGGAAGTAGGGAGAGGAAAAGATAATGATAGAGCATCAGTAATATCACATAACATAAGATGTGCAGGTAGAGGATATAAGGATGTGTACTGAAAGCTGTTGAATAATGGGGGTGGGAGGTAAGTGTAGGGAGAACAATGGAAGGGGATGAACTGAGCTGTTGAATAATGGTGGTGGGAGGGAAGCGGTAAGGGAGAGCAACGGAAGGGGTTGAACTGACCAAAGTAAAGCAGACTCACAGTGGGGACACATTGAGAAATCCCTTTGAACATCAGCCTAAATATTAATAATGAAGGACAGGACTGCAAAATATGCACAGTGTGTGTGGGGGGTGACTACTTGGAGGGGGAGGGTGAAGGAAGGAGATGAAGGTGAGGGTATATGGTTGATGGACTTCATATACCTATATGAAACAGAACTAAGAAACTTCTTGCTATTGCTTTAAGTGGGTGGGGAGGGTGTTGAGGGAGAAACAATGGGGGACAATGTGAATAATTTACAATATATGTCTAATTGAAATTGTCGCTATGATCCCCCCCATATAATGAATATATCCCAATAAAAAATTTGTGTAAGAAAAAGCCTGCCCTGCATCTCACTCCATACCCAAGAAGATTGACACCAGCCTCTTGTCCATAAAATTAATATTCAAACCTAAACACTACTTGACTCCATAAAACACACATTCTGTGAGATCTGACTGTGATGGCCTGTCTGGAACTAACCCCCTTTGTTGAACTGCCCTTGTGGGTGGTAACTGACCAGAATAATTCCTGGGTGATGATATTAAAATAAGTTGAGTTACACTGCCCCTCTCAGCCTCCTGAGAGTGTGGAGGGTTTTGGAAGCACCAGAGCTGTGGTCTGAGTCCCAGGGAGCTGTGTCAATAGCATATGGTGCTGACGTGGACACAGCTAGCATAGGGTTTGACTGAACCAGCACATCCTGACTCTACATCCATTGTGGGGGTAACTAGGGCCATGACAAAGGTGGTGCACACAGGGACAGAGGGCAAGATGGATGTGGGAAGGCGTTGAGGAGGTAGGAAGTTAAGGTCACCCAGTAGGGAGCCAGCATGGCCAAGGAGGACACAAGACTGGGACTGGTCACACAGGTAGGATTAAGCCAGGTGCCATAACTCGTCTCCAGGCACCTGACAGCATAGAAATGTTTCCTCCTTGATGCCGACAGTGCTCAGTGCCTGGTGTCCATGTTCTATATGATCATCACTATTCAATTACTTTTTTTTTTGTGGTGTTGGGGCTTGAACTCAGGGCCTCATGCTTGCCAGGCAGGCACTCTACTGCTTGAGCCACTCCACCAGCCCACTATTCAATTACTGGAGAGAGATTTTAATTCTTAATTTCTTTGACCAAGTACATTCATAGGCTCAAGTATCAAACATTGGATGGAAACCATAGCTTCCTCCCTAAGGGTTTGAGTTCTGGCGGCTAGGCCTCTAAGCTCCACTACCTCTCTACAGTCCTTGGAGCAGTGGTTGAGGTTTATAAGTTACTGACTGGCCAATTCAAGGTGCCTTAAATAAGGAGTATTTATTAACTCATGTTTCCAGAAAAATAAGAGAGAAGAACCCAAGGTTGGCTTAGCCAAATGACTGTTCTGTCTTCTTAGATCTGTTTCTTTCTGGGTCCTCTCTCTGCCCCTTGGTACTGGTCTCAAAAGGTTGGACTCCTTTGAGGTGGCCAAAAGCTGGCAGCAGTCCCATCACCATGTGCCCAGAACAGGCTATGTCTCTCTACCTCTCTCAAAAGATCTAATAGCTTCCAGCTCCATGGAGACAGCTGGGCTTACTCAGAGGAGCAGAACCCAGAGAGCTTATTGGTTTCCTTCTGTGCAGAGAGGTCACTTATGGGGGTGTGACCATGGCAGAGCAGGGGTCAGTCTCTGGGATGGAGTTTGGAGTCAGCAGGGACAGGGAAGGACAAGGACATACCTTCTCTAGCCTACTCCACCTCCCCCTCCTGCCTACTTCCAAAGCTGCTTTCATAGTTACAGTACCCCACTTCCAGATACCAAAATCCCTTGTGGTTTTCTGTTGCTGCCTGACCAACGGCCATAGGCACATGGCATAAAACAGCAGCTATTCATAAGATTGTGGTTGCACAGAGTGGAAGTTCAGGCATAGCTGGGGCTTTTTTTTTTGGCAGTACTGGGGCTTGATCTCAGGGCCTCAAGCTTGCAAACTTGCTAGGGAGGAGCTCTATGACTTGAGCTACTTCACTGGCCCTGTTTTGTGTTTGGTATTTTCAAAATGGGGTCTCGTGAACTATTTGCCCTGGCTGGCTTTGAACCTCAATCTTCCTGATCTCTGCCTCCTGAGTAGCTGGGATTACAGGCGTGAACCACCAGTGCCCAGGCCAGGCGAAGCTCTTGAAACCAATGTTCAGGTACCCCTGGCTTCTCTTGGGAGGTTCTGGGGAAGGATCTACCTCCAGGTCCATCTGGTTTTTGGCAAATCCAGTTCTGGTGGGTATGGAGCTGAGGTTTCTTCTTGCTGGCTGCTGGTGAGGGTAGCTCTCAGCCCAGTGGCCACTCTCTGGTTCTTCAGTATGACCTCCTCCAGCTCCAGGCCACTAATGGTGGATCAAACCTCTGTGACACTTCAGTCTCTCTGGCTTTCCCTTCTGCTACCAGCCAGAGAAAACACTCTGCTTTTATATTTTTATTTTTAATTGACAAATTATAGTCAAATATATTTATGGGCTTCAGTAGAATGCTATGATATATTAAACATTGTGTAATATTTAAATCAAGCAAATTAACATATCCATCACCTCACACACTTAGTGTTTCTCTGTGGTGACAACATTTAACATCAACTCTTAGTAATTCTGAAATATGCAATATGAATATTGATATTCACTATAGTCACCGCACTGTGCAAGACGTCTCAAAACCTTATTCCTCCTGTGCAGCTGAAATTTTGTGTCCTTTTACCATCCACCGCCCACCCCAGCCTCTGCTCTCTGCTTCTGTGAATTTGACCTTTTTGTATGCTACATACAAGTGAGATCATGTGGTATCTTTGTGCATCTGACATATTGCTTCTCTTTTAAGGCCGAATAGTACTTCATGGTGTGTATATATACCATATTTTCTTTATCCACTCACGCATCAATGGCCACCTTAGATTGTTTCTGGGCTATTGTTACTCGTGCTTCAGTAAATGAGAGTGCAGCAGTCTTTCTGACATACTGAGTTGCTTTCCTTCGGTTATATACCCAGTAGTAGGATTACTGGATAGGATGATAATCCTATTTCTCATTTGTTTTTTGGAGAAACCTCTGTACTGTTCCCCATCACAACTGCGCTAATTTGCATTCCTACCACCGTTGGGCAGGCATTCCCTTCCCTCCCCACATCCTTGCCAATATTTGTAACCTCTCACCTTTTTGGTGATAGACATTCTAACTGGAACGATATGGCATTGTGGTTTGAATTTGTACTTCTCTAATGATTGGTGGTGTTGAGAACATTTCATATATCTGTCAGACTTTCACCTGTATCTCATTTGAGAAATGTGTATTAAGGTACTCCTCCCATTTTGAAACCAGGTTATTTGTTTCTTGCTGTTGAGTTGTCTGAGTTCCTTGTGTATTTTAAATAGTGCCCCTTATATATTTAGATATTGTCCCTTGTATATTTTAGCTGTTATGAGATGTATAGTTTGCAAGTATTAACTCCCAAACTGTAATCATCATGGAGGAAAAGGACCATGACA